TGGAATAAGCTATTTTTAATACGGATCACATACAGTAAGAGAGATTCACTAAGTACCGATTGATAATTAAAAAAGGTATCGAATTCATCCTTTAAAAAAAAACTCATTTTTTAAATTATATTAAATAAATAATAAAGATCTCATAACAGCATAAATTGGTATTTTTATGCGGTTGAAGAATGAAAGTATAAAACTAAGCACAAGTTTTTTCTAATTATTATTAAAAAGAAAAAAAAATTGACTTGAAAATACTTGTCATTTCAACCGTTCTCGATTATTTGCACAGTGAACTATAAAACTTAGTGAGTTTTAATTTATCCCCTATAATTAAATTCATTGAGTAACTAAAGATATACATAAATAGGGATATATATTACTTCGAATATTCTGCATGGTGGAAAAAAAATACTAAATTTATGGAAAAATATTAATATTAAATATTCCACTAAATGGCAAATTCGGTGAAATAATATTTTTTAGAGATTTTCACTCTGACGGAGTCTCGTATTTGGCAAGACGCTTCTTCAACTCGTCAACCTGGTTTTCCAGTACCTCGTAGCTCGGTCGGGTCACCTCACCTTCCAGAAGACCGTGTTCGATCATCCAATTTTTGTCGGCAAATTTACCCAAGTAATTGCGGAGAGTGTCTGGTAGGATGACAACACAGCGCTGGTCTTCACGAAGGTCCTTGGCTGCTTTCAACACGCCCGAAAACGCAGATCCGCTGCTGCCCCCCACCATCAGTCCCTCAAGAGAGTTCAGTTCCAAGGCGAGGTCAAAGCTCTCCTTATCATTAACTTTAACCCAGCGATCTACACGATCGCGCTCACAAACCTTCGGAACGAAATCATAGCCGATACCCTCGACCATGTATGAGGACACCTTATCGTGCTCGGGGTCCGCGAGAATGCTTCCAACGGGGTCGACGCCAACAATCGTGACGTTCGGGAGTAGCTCCTTGAGTCGTTGGGAAATGCCCGTTATAGTGCCACCAGTACCAGCGGCGCTCACAACCATATCGACCTTCCCATCACACTGATCGTAGATCTCCATCGCAGTGCCGTCGTAGTGTGCTTGAGGGTTGGCTGAATTATTGTACTGGTCGAGCATGACGTAGCCTTTCTCCTTCACAAGACGATTCGCGAGACCGAAAAGACTGTCAGGGTGGTCCGACGGCAGAGTCATCGGTGTCCGAATAACTTTCGCGCCTAGCGCAGTCATTGTCACCTCCTTCTCTTGGGACATCTTCTCTGACATGGTGATGACCATTCCATAGCCACGCACCGCAGCAGCCATGGAAAGTCCAACGCCAGTATTACCACTGGTCGGCTCCACCAAAACGGAACCAGGCTTTAGTCGACCTTCAGCCTCAGCAGTTAATACCATGCTCTTACCTACACGATCCTTTACACTGCCACCAGGATTGAGGTACTCACATTTGGCA